CTACAGAAACAATTAATTACACACTGAACACAAAACAAAACAAAATAAAAAAACAAAAAACTTTTCATCTAATAAAATAAATTTTTAATTTTATCAATTTAAATTCTAATATTTTGATTTATTTTTAATCTAAATTATCTATCTATTTTTATAAAGAAAAATTCATTAAAAAATAATATTTTAATAATTAAATTTAATGAATTGAGTATTTTAAATATTTTATGTACATTGAATTTAATGATTAAAAAATATTATTTTTTTTATCAATTTAACTTAACAAAAATAATAAATTAATTTAAATTAAAAACAAATTAAAAATTAAGATTTAAATTAATAATTGTATTATAAAAATTAAATCCTAAAATGTTTTCGTAATTTTTTATATAAAAAGTATATTAAATTATAATTTTTTTGATATTTAGGGATGATTTAGGATGATCTAAATAATTGTATTTTTTGAATTTTTATGAAATATGAGTTGTGTATGGGTTGAGTTTGAAGTGATGTGATAAAAAAGTGATATGATTTAAATAAGATGATGTGATTTAGGGGTTGTTTGGGATGATCTAAATAAGTGCACTTTTTGACTTTTTATGAAATATGGATTGAGTTTGGGTTAGGTTTGAAGTGATGTGTTAGAGAGGTGATGTGACTTAAATAAGTTGATGTGACTTAAATAGGATAGTAACTTTTTGACTTTTTATCTTTTTCAAGACATGCCAAACTTGGCCTTTGATAAAATAGAAATTTTTTAACTTTTTTATTTTTTTTAAATTAGGCCAAATAAGACTTTAATATTCCATAAAGTAAATAGTAACTCTTTTAACTTATTGTAATGCGCGTACATAGTAGAGAGTCAGCGTGGGGTGGGGATGATGACCAGACCACTCTGTGTGACGCCGTATGATGTAACACAACAATCATATGCCAATGGAGTACCAAATCATTTTACTATCCCATGTTAAAAGTCACATAAAAAATTTTAAATAAGAAGGAAAATGTTATAAATCTCAAATTTTTTTTATTAAAGTCTTATTTATCATAATTTTAAAAAGTTAAAAAGTTATATCATCTTATTTAAATCATATCATCTTATTTAAATTACATCACTCCTTTATCACACCACTTTAAACTCAACTCATACACAATTTATATTTTATAAAAAGTTAAAAAGTATACTTATTTAAATCATTCCAATCCACTTCTAAATAAATGATCAAATGTATTATATGAGTGTGAGATCTATAAAATTGTGGATCTCACACTCATGTGAGACATTTGGTCATTTATTTGGTAAAAAATTTAGTATCTCTAACATTATCTAAATTAAAAGTAAGAAATTATAACTATAACTTATGTTTTTTTTTTTAAAAAAAAAAAATTATGTGCAAAAATTAATTGTTAGTTGTTGGATTAACATTTATATGAATTAAATTCAATTGTTTGGTTTGAATTTGGTTTGAGTTTGAGTTTGAATTAAATTCAATTTTTTATGTGCAGAAATCAATTGTTAGTTGTTAGATTAACATTTATAAGAATTAAATTCATTTTTAGAAATCAATTGTCTAGTTTGAGTTTTTTGGATTAAGTTTTTCGGTTTTCGCATTTTTTTTTTGTTTTTAGTGAATATTTTTAAAATTTTAAATATTTTGTTTACCTTTTTAGATGCACCTTACTTTAATGTATCTAAAAAAGTAAAAAATTTGTAAAAAAAATATTTTTAAAAATTAATAAATACATAAAAATACAAAAAATATACTGAATTCTCGTATTTTGTTTTGTATTTCTGATATTTAGTGAATTTTTAAAAGATTTTTTTCACAAATTTTTTACTTTTTAGGTATATTTATGTTAGGTATGTCTAAAAAGTAAAAAAAAAAATTTGCTTAAAATATTAAAAAAAATCAGCAAAAACAAAAAAAAAATATGAAAAACAAGAAAGTAGAATTTTCTTAAAAGTATGTTTTGAAAAACCTAACCAAGCAAGCTGATGCTTTATAAAGTACTTTCTTAATTCAACACCTCTAACAAGAATTGAATTCATGACTTTCCCTAAAAACTAAGGTTTCGTTTGAAAATAGGGTTTTTTAGTAATTTTTTGACTTTTTTGTTAAAGTATGATATAAAAAAAATTAGTTTGTTTGGAATGACTTTTTGATTTTTTACAAAAAAATGTGCAAAAGGTACAGAGAAAATGAAGGGCTTGTTTGGTTTGAGTTAGAGTTGAGTTTTAGAAAAAAAAAAATTCAAAAAATTGTTTGGTTTGAGATTTTTCTGAAAAAATTTTCAAAATCACTTTTTTCTCTTACACATCAATCAATTATTTTTTCCCTCTCCTCTCTCATTCTCAATCACTTTTTCTCTCTCACACACATCTACTCAATTCTTCCAAAATATCAAATCATTCCAAACTTCCACAAAAAAAATTTCTCTCAAAATATACAACCAAACAAACCAAAAAATTTTCTAAAACAACTCTCCCAAATTTTTTTCAAAAACAACTCTCCCAAAAATAAACCAAACAAGCCCGAAATCTTTGATTTTTTGGTAGAGATTTTTGACTTTTTAATTTTTATAATGACTTTTTAACTTTTTAACTAAAAAAATCACTTTCCAAACGATACCTAAATCTTTAAAAAAATCACACTAGCCAACTATAACTTATGTTAATATATATGTATACATGATACTATATTAAAGGTTTTGTTAACAAGTGTTATTAATATTTTACCTACCAAAAAAGTGTTATTAATATATTTTTAAGATATATCTTAAATTCTTTTGAAAAAATTATATATTTTCTATTACACTCACATATAAAATCTACAATCGTTATATTTGCATAAAAGTGAGTGTAATAATTAAAATATGTAAAAAAAATTATAAAAAGTAAATTAAAACAATTTTTTTTTCAAAAAAAAAAATTAAAACAATTGAAATGTGCTTTAAAATTTCAACCTTTTCAACTACGTAAATTACATTAACAAACTATTGTGTTCTTCTAAAATTACATTAGCACCTCATGTTAACTAAATTGTCATACTTTTGTTATGGGTTTATGTGGTTCAATTGCCATAGTAGTTTATCCTTTTTTTTTTCTTTTTTTTTCTTTTCTCTTTTAGCAAAGAAAAAGATTTATTGATGGAATTAATAAAAATATCTTTACATAAATGATACTAGCTAGAGAATTGGAGAAGATACAATAAACGTTTGAAATAATTACACCAATCTCTATTTTACATTGACTAAAGGGTTGTTTGGGAAGTACCAAATAAGTATATTTTTTTTTACTTTTTACGAAAATATGTGTAGAAAAATAGAGAAATAATGTGACCTAAAAACTATAAAAAGAAAAAAAAAAGTGTGCTATGTTAACACTTCCCAAACAAGCTTTAAGTAGACCATGTTAGGCCTTTGTTGATGGTAATCCCATTAAACAAAACATTATTTAATTGAAATTGCATTTGCTCCTTTGTAATTGAGAGGTTGAGAGTGATTAGATGCGAATCGAACCCAGTCTGACTCAAACAATCACCAATCATTCAATTCCACTTGCTGAAGAAGATTCAGAATAACATAGACCGCTCGAGTTGTTAAGTAAGTCTTGCAATTTCAAAGTTTTAGAGACAAATCCAGTAAAGCGTTACCTTATAATTCACTCAAGCAGATAAAAGTTATGCTTGAGTGGTTCATTAAGTCCTACAGCTTTTCAAAACTTCACACTTTAATACTACAGAGACAAAAAGTTCAAGCAGTCAAAAGGCGGTTAGTTACTTATATGCACTTTTTTTGTAAGATTTGTGAGAGGCTCTGGGATATTCATCCCTAGAGTGCTAAAATCATAAATCAAGTTTTTTAGTGAGATAAACACTTGTACCTTGATGAATTGAGAGTGATCATTCGATAACATTCTTTATATTAAAGATTATCAAGGAATTTCTACTTCAATTACACCTTCAAAAATAACCCGCAAGGGTGGCCCAGTGGGTGAGGGAAGAAAACCTAGGGTCTGGGAGTTTGCTCCTCCTGGAGGTCCCAAGTTCGAATCCCACTCCCCACGGGTCACTGTGCGGGCCACTGGAGGTTTGCCCGATCGTTAACTTCAAGGCCCTCAGGATTAGTCCCATGCTTCGGCTGTGGGGATACCTGAGTCATCAAAAAATAAATAAATAAATAAATAAATTACACATTCAAAAAGACCCTTTTCTGGTGGATTTTGAGAACTTGAGCTTGGAAGTTTCGGTTTGGATTTTGGAAGTTTTAGTGTCGTCGATTCGACATTGGAAAAGCAATTATGTGGCCAAGATGGCATAGAAAGAAGGCATAAGGGATTAAGTCAATCGGAGGACTGATTCACTACATGATTGTATGAGAATTCATTGTATACTTTTTTATTTTTTTCAGTGGATTGTTTCTTGGCCGTTGCCCATGATTTTTTTTTCATAATTGGATGTGTTACAATTGTGTTGATTGTGTCCATTGTTTTTACTTGATAGTATATCTAATTCAATTTACTATTGATTGGATTAGATCTATCATTGATTGTATGAGAATCGTTATTAATTGTCTATTGAATCATAATTACAAATCACAATATCTGAAAATTTAGGTTTTTCAAACCAACACTAATGCATCTAACAATGAAGAATATACATTTTAGGGTAAAAAATAATGACAATATCTTTTTTCCACCCATGTGACTAACGAATTATTAATGAAAAGAAATTCAAGTATTATATAAATTAAAACCTTAAGGACTCAATGTAATTATATCAAAATTTGAGACTTGTATTTTCTTGAAATCTCATAGGAAGTCAGTGAAGTTTACCCAATATTTTATATGATCCATGAGTAAAACTTCAAATTTTTCAATCAATAAAAGTCTTCTTTTTGTTTGTGGATAATTGACTTGTTGTAGGAGAGTGAAATTGAAAATGAAATCTCTGAAAAACAGTTCTATTTCTATGCAAATAACAACTTTCTTATTTGCGAGCCAAAAATTAACATATAACTTTTTTTTATTGGAAAATTCACATATGATTACATCATATCTATTATAATATAGCTCTCTTTCTCTCTCTCTCTCTCAATCAAAAAGTTCCACAAAGAAAAAAACATAAAATTGAATATGATGCTTAAGTATGAATAAAATATGATGAAGATTGACACTCCTTTTGCTGCTTTATGTCTCTTTTGTCTTCCTTTTTATGTTTCTTTTTTCTTTGTTCTCTTTTGCTTTTCTTCCTTCCTTTCTCTTGATTTTTCAAAAAAGGCACCTGATTCCCATTTCCCATCTCAACTCCCAACAAACAAAAGCATATATATATATATATATACATATAGACCATGATTTTAGAATGAGTCTTTTCAACAGGACAGAATTAATAATTATTTTTTATGACCTGCCCAAGGTAAACTCCAAATTAGGCTTCTTCCCAGGGCTCATAATTTCTAAAATGCTTGATGACTTCATTTCAAAGACTCCTTCACAGTTCACTATATCCTGCAGCAGAAAACAAAAAATATCCAACATCATAAAGCTAGTACAAATGTTACCTTGTGTTATGCATGCATAAATCAAGGGAAAATTTTTTATTAGAATGAGGTAGTGGAGAAATTTCAGTAATTAAGTCATATTAATTGACTTAGTGAAATGTCATTGCCATTTTTTTTTTTTTTATCAGCAAAATAAACCTTTGTTGATTAGAAATCAAGATAAAACCTTACATCACACATCAATAAAAGGGAAAGTAACTATACAAAGTGATCTTATGTCATCATCACTTTTGTGAGAACTCTAAAAGAAGAGTTCTAGAGAACTCTAATGATGTGGGTCCCACAATGACGTGATATTTGCATTTTTTTTTTTTCATTGTCAAGTCATTAGAACTCTGTTTAGACCTCTCAAATTAGAGGGATGGATTATTTCTGATGATAAAATGATAAGTCTTACTATCGCAATACAAACATAATATTATATATACAAAATATATATTTGTATAACATTACTGATTTAAAAAAAAAAAAAAGTGCACCCTGGCTAACGTCAGTTCATTATACAATTACTTTATTTTATTTATTTATTTTCTTTTTGTCATTTGGGCACTGCATGCATGTGACCATAACATACTTGGATGGGATAGTTCTGCATAAAACCTGTAGTCATCCAAGTAATTTCAAATGTCGACAGTTTTTTTTTTTTTTGGTCGGCAAATGTTAATTATTAGATTAACATCTATGGAAGAAAATTTCTCTACTTTTGACAAAGCACTTAAGTACTTGCACTCCTTTAATTCAATTCTCATAAGAGGAATCGAACCCATGACCCTTGAGACTAAGTCCTAAAGAATGCATGGTGACCAACTAGTCTAGGCCTAGTTGATTTCAAATGCCAACAGTTTAATTGTATTATGAATATAATTATTTACAAATCAAGCAAAAACATGAGTTAAGAGAATGAAGTTTGGTAGTTTTAAGCAATATGCTGAATTTAGTTTTCACAAATATACAGTTACTAAAAACTTTATAATGAAAAGTTTTAGACAGTTCAACCATTTCATTTTATGAAAATGCCATCCACAGTTTTATTTATTTATTTATTTTTTTTTTTTGTGATCAGCCAAAAAGAAAGACTCATAAATTCTGGATTTCACGTCTCACAGAAAACAATTACAATGGAAATTAAAGTTCATTTAGGGGCATAACTATATACTGCTCCAAAAAATATTAAGTAAATTGACTAAAGCCATTTGATATTTGTGCCCGTGAACTGATTTCTCTTCGGATAATAATATATATAAAAGACTCAACTATTGTTTGAAAGGCTATTCACTTTCTCTCCTTTTGATGTTGTAGACTTGTAGTTTTTCTTGACAAAGAAATTAGTACTGCTTTGTAATTCTTTCTTTCGTATTCCTTTTGGTCCTATTTCCTTCATTCGAAAGGAACATCTCAATGTTGTTTGAATAGACCAAGAAATGCTAGGGGAACTTAATTATTGCTACAAAACAAGATTGGTCACTGTTGCGTTTAGTTCGTTGGAATAAATTTTGATAGAAATAAAATGGAAATTGAAGTAGGTCCGGCATGAGGTAGGAATAGTCATTCCCATTCTAATATTCTAATAGCAATGGACATTCCATCGCTTTTTAGTAAACCAAACAAGCATTAGACATTTTGACGGAATAACCATTTCATTTCAGCCTTCATTCAACCGAACCAAACACTTGAAGCCATTCAATTTATATTGATTTATATATATATATATATATATTTGTGCTATTAGATTATGTGGCTTATACTAAAATTGGAGTGCAGTGCAATTATTGAACTTGAATACTCATCAACACACTGTTTTTGGAAGCCATCAAAAGCAAAAAGCATATCCAAACAAGTTGTTAGAAGAGATGATTACGAAGAAGTAGTTACCTCAAAAGGGGTTGTGCGTCCTTTGATGTCCCCAATTGGTTTTCCATGCAACCAAGCGTCCCTCCTGTATATATATATAGCAAATCCACAAAGGAAGACAATCTTACCTGTCAGTGGGAGCCATATATTATATATATAATATGTTCTGTAAATGAAATGTTTACATGAAACCTCACTTTTTACTGCTGCTAAATTATTCACATCTCTTTGCTTTTAATTCCAATGAGTGATGGTTGAAATAAGATCCTAAATCGATATCATTCATTGCCATTGCCATCCCCATCCCCATCCCCTCATCCCATGTGGAAGCTCAACATCCATAACAAGAAACAAGAAGGAAGTTTCAAATGAAATATTGGGTTTGAAACCAAGATTTGGTTTTTCCTTACTATTAATGTACCCCACAAAATCCTTGTGACATAAAGAACTCCTTCAGGTGCCATTTTTTTCCTTTGTGGGATCCACTCCTTGGAATTTTTATGAGTGCATTGTTCCCACACGACTACAAGGCTTTTTTTTAAAAAAAAATTATCATTCAATAATGCAAGTTTCGATCTTCACCTTATCTTTGACAAACAGCACCAAAAAAAAAAAAAATGATATATCATTTCACTGTTTTTTATTTCATACTAGCTCAGTGCACAAGGCTCCCACAACTGCAGGGTTTGGAGAGGGTCAATGGCCTGTAAGCTCATCATCTATGTAGAGATGATGTTTCCTTAATTTAAACTTTGTGACGACCAAGTCATCATTGATCAACCTTACCAGTTTGTATTGACTGTGGTGACCAAAGTGATATCTAGCAGACTCAGTGTTCTTTGTTTCATTTAGCTGTAGCAGATTTAGCTGGTCAGTTTCTTTTGGTTTTGTTCATTGTCTTTCCGTTGGTTTCTCACCAACGAGGAGGTTGGAGCTCCGTCTAGCTCCAAGCTCCTCTTTGTTGATGTATTACGTTTGCGTTCATCAATAAAGTTTCATTTGCCGATCAAAAAAAAAAGAAAAAGTGATATCTAGCTAGGTTAAATAATTAAGGTTGCACTCTTCCTTATCGTAGTTTATAGGAGGAATTGAGACCTATATTTTGTGTATAAATGTAGGTCTTGTGTCTTTATTGGATGTGAGTTTAAGTTACATGTTAGATGACTAAAGAATTGTAAGAAGAAAAACAACAAACTATCAACAACAAACTATCACTTATGTGTTTAGTTTCAAGGTCATATATCATATAGATACCAGAGAATTTTATTCATTAATTTTTTTTATTTTTTATTTTGGATCAGCAAAAGTTCGCTTGTAAAGCATCAGGTACTTGTCACCTAATATAATTCACTCTTTTTTTTTTCTCAGCAAAAGAAACAAACTTTATTAATGTAAGAATGAAGTACCAAGTGCAAAACACATTACATCAAAAAAAGGAAAGGAGAGTGCAAATGCATCACAATGAACTAAATCATCCCAGCTAGGTTGATACCAAAAAGCTCATCCTATCATTTGCTAGCACCCCTAGAGTTGGCGAGAAATCATGATCTCCCCCTTAATATAATTCACTCTTAATAAGAGTTGAACCCATGATCTCTCCCTTAAAATTAAACCATTAGAAGAGTCATAATAATCAATTAGGTTAGGTCTAATTAGTTGAATTTTACTCATGTTCATCAATACTTCAAAGTTTAGAAATACTGTTTCAGTTGAGTTATTTCCACATGACAACGACAAGGGCTTTTGCGGATAATATTTAACTTGACATACCATATTACTAACATGCTTTTGCTATTATAACATATTTTAACCTATTGCCAAAACAAGCCTAAGTTATGTAATACCGTATTTTATAAAGTAATTGCTAACTAGTTAAAATAAAAGTTGAGTACCAAATCTTAAGTTTACTTTTTTTTGTTATCAGCAAAAATAATCTTTATTAATAAGAATCAAGGCAATAGCTATACATCATACATCAATAAAGATAATACAAAACTGGAAGATGCTATAAGCATCACAACAAAACCTATCATCACAACTAAGTTGACACGAAAGGATTTGCTAATCATATGCAGCATCAACCAGCAGCCATGGTTGACAAGAATTCAACCAATAGCTATGCATACAACAAAGAACTTACAACAGGCACCACGCCTCCCACAACCACATCAATCATTAAGCCTTAAACCAAAACAGTTATGACATGCAGAATCCTACCTGCAACAGCATCCACTACTACATCCTATCATAAGAACCAATTTCTTAAGTTTACTTGTCCACAATTTATTGACTAATTAAAAAAACTTATTTTATAATTTAATGCACAAATTAATTGGACTCCTATATGTATTAACGTTCTAAGAAACCTCTATCTTGGATAAGATACAAGACTTCAATGGAGGTCAATCGCAACCTATATTACACTGGGATTTGTACTTAATTATTTTCCCTCCTTTCTGTAATACTTTTGTTCAAAAATAAATAATAAAATAAACAAATAAATAAACAAGAGAGAGAAAAAGGAAAAAAAAAAAAAACAAAGAAAGAAAGAAAAGAAATCTTGATATTTTACTTGTGCGTGTGCATATTTTTCAAATATATACACAAAATTCTAAATATGCTTCTATTTTCATCCCAATCCTAGTAATAAAACTAGTGTAAGTACTTTCATTGTAGATGAGTATAAAAACTTCCATATCGATTAATTAAACCGGATCAATATTGTGCAAGAATAAGAATAAAAATTAGAAACTAATTTAGAAAGTAGCATGACAAATTGCTCCAAAGGCCACTGTAATCCTGATCTTGTTCCATAACTGACCTTCCTTTTTTAATTGATAACCCAGTTTTTGATGGGCTAAAAATGTTTTCAGAATTCTGATCTCCACCCAAATCACTTCCTAATCCATCTGATTGGCCTATATTAAAAAAGAAAAGGAAAGATGAAAAAGACAGAAAAACATTATTAAAATAGTTGTAAATCTCAGTTAACTTAATGATAGTTAAAGAAAAAGAAAAGATATTAAAGTAAAACAAATATTAGAAGAAGAAAATATTAAAATGGGTAGTATTTACCTGAAGATGTTGCAGGTCTATCTGTAGTCTTTATTGTACGATACATCTGTAACAAAAGTAAATCACAATAATCCCATGTCAAATTGTTCATAATTTTTTATTTTAATTTTAGAAATTTGAGAGTGTTTGACTTCTACTGACAAATTATGAAACAAAATAGCTTAAATATGTTAAAAAGATTGATTAATCAGAAGTAAGGAGAAAAGTGTCTGATTAATAACTTTTAATTTAAAAGAAACCATACCAAATTGTGACATGGTTGTCAAAAGGAGCACGAGCTGCCTTAAAGTATTACTCCATGTCTCATTAAAAACTTTTAATTAAAAATAAAAAACCTATACCACACAAATTTATTATATTATTTGAAATATATATTTTTGCCGATTAAGCCTGCTGATATGGTGTAGCTGCACACGCTGTGGATAGAATTGAAAATTTATATGTATATCTGAGTAATTTATCACATTAATATGAATGCATAAATGTATAAAATAAAAGAGACATTTCACCTCAGTGAGTGTTTTAAAAGTTTTTCAAATTAACAATAAATATTAAAAGTAAAATTATATTTTTTTTCATTATTTTGTAATTAATTTTTAAAAAAATTCAGGCAAATAATTTCCAAATTGATGGTTTTGTGCAATGATTAATGTAATTAATCATAGTCAAAGCTTATGGTTGGGAAAGCACAATGATGAAGATATCATTGTGAAATGATAGCACATATAGTACACTTTTGTCTACTATCTTATTGCATTTTTTGAAGGTACATGGTAAAGCATATTGCTCTTTGAATACAACAAAAATACAAAGACAAAACCATTTTTTTTAATAATAAAAATAAAATAAAATCAAGTTTTAGAAAAATGAAAAACCATTCTCTTAGTTTTTTTTTTTATACTATTATTGGGTGGATCCTTACCCCTTGCAAAAAGTTGAGACTTGTGTCTCAGAGTCTCTCAGACCTATCAGATCTAATTAAATTAAAAATAAATAAAGAGCTGAAGGTTTTCAGAGATCTTTTACAAAGAACATTGGGATGTGCAACACTACCCAACTCAGCTATAATACTGACAAACACAAAAGTTCATCTAAAGAAACCCCTTTAAAAGCTGCACCAACATAATTCCGAGAAATTCCTTTTTTTCATTTTTTTTATTTTAAATTTGTTTTTACGGACTAGAAAAGATTAAAATAGATTAATCATGTATGTATGTACCTGCAAATGAGATTTCACGTGAGCTAAGGTGAGATCCTTCACATTCATGAGCTCAAGAACTGACTTGGGTGTAGCTCCTAAACAGCACAAGAATTGTGTAAGAATTTTATTTATTTATTAAGACAAAAAAAAAAACAAAAGAAGCATCTATTTTGCTTTTTTGAAATTTTCAATTTGATGAACCATTAAGGGGGGTCAAAATAAATAAGAAAAAAAGAAAACAATTAAAGTGCCATAGATTATATACTTTCATGGCCACCAAGAAGTTCAACGGCATAGACGAAGCGGGCATGTAGGGTTGTAGTCCACCGCATTCTGGGAGCTCTCACTCTTCGCTTTGCCGGAAATCTTGATAAAATTTGTGATTTTGCAATGTTGTTGCTGTTGGTGGTGGTGGAATGCAAGAATGTTGTTGGAGTGGTAGTTATTGTAGATGGTGAAGAATCTAATAAGGAAGGAGGGTTTTGATGATGATGATGATGATGATAGACTGGAATGCCCCTTATGGGTCTTAAATAATCAAATTCTCGTTGGTTGTGAAACCCTTGTTGTTGTTGATGATGGTAATGATGATGAACAAGTTGTTGTTGTTGGCTGTACAATTGATTGGGAGGCAAAAGACTTCCATTTTTTCTGCCATAAAAAAGATGAGGAGGAGGAGGAGGAGGAAAAGGACTGCTGGAGGAAGAGTTGGGTTCCATGGCATCTGGGTTAGCCAGGAAGGAAGAGAGCTTGAAAGCAGTATTGATACTGGCTTTCATGGCTTCTTCATCTGATCTCCTCCAACTCCAACCTGAGGTGGTTTTGGTGTTTGGATTTGGATTTGGATTTGGATTTGGATTTGGGAGGCTAATTTGAAGAGATAAATCAGGTTGTGCTGGGAACAGCTCCATTGTTGTTCTCCTTTCCCACTTCTTCTTTTTATCTCTCTGATCAGATATATATACACAATTTTGTTGACAAGTTCTGATATGATGTTGTAATGAATCCCCTCGTTAGATTTCTGGGTTTTCTTCGGATAGACATAGAGTTCAACAATTTAGGGATTACTTTGACCAAAATAGAAGGGGGGGGGGGGGGGGGGGGGTGAGAAATGAATAGATGTTTTGCTTGTTTGTGTGGAGTATATGTGAGAAAGTGACAGTCATACGAGAGAGAGAGAGAGAGAGAGAGAGAGAGAGAGAGATTTGTTTCTTTATTGTGGAAGTAGGGTAGGGACCTTTGAGCTGGAGAAAAGGGAAAGAAAAAAAGAAAAAAAGTGGGAATTAAAATTGAGGCTTTGATTCCTTTTTACTCCTTTGCTTCATCACTTCTCTTGTGAGATAAAAGAAGGAAATTTTAGTGTAAGCTTTTACGTGTGAGTTTGTCTTTTTAACTACTTCGGGTTTTATAACCATCCCAATTCCCAACCATTGGAATCATATTTATGGTTGGTGATGGTTTCCCACCCCAAAAAAAACCCTAATTTCCCATTCTTAGAGACTAGACCTTTTTTCCCCTCACAAATAGATGAAATTCATTCTTCATAGAAGAAGGAAAAAAAAAAGAAGGCTAGTCAATTCCACATCCAACCCTAATTTCCTAAATTTCAAATTTTCTTATGTAAAGGCTAGTCAATTTATTATTATTATTATTATTATTTTGGTACTCATTATGGACAAATGTCACAATATGACCAAAATATGCAAAAAAAATTCTTCTAAGGCCCTGTTTAGGAAGGATTATTTGGGCTAAAATAACCAATAAAAACAAAATAGACTAAAATAGTCAATAAGACAAAATATCACATTCAATCCATAATCATTTCAACTAAAATAATCAACTTTCAAACAACTATTAAGTAAAATTTCATTATTCTCTTTACGCGCCACCTTACACAACTACTTCTGGCCGTTACCAATCATTTTCTGACGATTATTTTTTGATGGTTGTCCATGACTTTTCAATGAAAACTTTCTAGTGAGAATCTCCGACTATCACTTTCTAACGACTCTCAGTATCATTTTCTAGCGATTCCTACCCTCACTACAAGAAAAAAGGGTTACAACAACGTTTATTTAGTAGCGTTTTTAAAAACGTTGTAAAATATGAAAAATCTAGCACACGATTTTGTTTTCCACACGCGGGTCGTCGGAAAATGGTAGGACAACGTTTTTGAAACGTTGGGTTATGGTTAAAATAGTGTAGTTTAGTTTAGATAAAAGTATTTATTTTTCTTTTAAATTTCATTTTTGCTTTTAAGAGTCGTGGGAATCCAAGTCAATCTGAGAGAGAGAGAGATGCGACTTCAAAGAGAGAGAGAGAGAGGGATCAACACTTGGTGGTTCGATCTGGATCCATTCTTCGTCATTTTGATCTTGAAAAGCTGGTTCTGTATTTAATTTGAGCGTTTATCTTAGTTATTGTTCGAATCTCTGTAATTTAAATCGATCTAGGGCTCGTTCTTCTTCGTGTTTGGGTGCGGCATGGCTCAAGGTAAGGGATTTGTTGAATTCACCGAAGATCTGTGTTGTTTCATGGCTAAAAAGTAACGATCTGGAATGTATTTACGTTGATGTTTGTAAATTCAGTTTCGTCTTCACTCAATTTGGTTGAAATCTAACATTTTTTGATTTTGCCTTTTGTGTTTTGCTTCTTTCTTCTAATTTACGTTCTCTTCCTCTTTATGGTCCACGCATTGGGACGAAGTTCTTGATCACCAACAAATAGAAAGAATGGAGTGGTGATAAAGATATGTTGCTGCCGATCGAGAGTTGCATCCAACAGCCTCGGTATCACAGAACATTAGTTCAGGGGCTTGAAGCATGGTGCTGTGTCCTTCATCAACAGCTCAGCCTTATCAATCTCTACTTCAAGCAGACCAATTTCAAGCTCATTCGATCTCTGCTTCAGTCTATACACCGCTATTGAAGAGCTCAATCGAGTTTGGCCAGGTCAAACTCATCCAAAAGGTAAGTTAAGATATGTCAAGCACATTTATGCAAACTTAATCAAAATCGCATTTTTTTTCATCAACTAAAAATTTGATTTCCGTTTTCGGATTATCTTCTTCACAAAAAGCAAAACCAGTCCTTCATTAGCATTTGATTTTATACTTTGTTTTTGGAGATTTTGATCGAAAATCAAGATTTTAAAGCTCCAAGCTGTGGTCTATGCTCTGTTTTACAAGATTTTTTTTTTCTCTCTCTCTCTTTTTTTTTTGGGGGGGCTTCAATGTTGAATTCGTTTCTTCGTTTTGCCAAACAGAGCACAAGACATTGCTTTTTACTAGTATTTTAAATTTGTTCATTCAACTCTAAGATATGTCCCTCAAGTGTATTGTATGTATATATATATATATATATATATATGAAGCTTATTGCTTGTTTTGGTTGCAGAGTTCGCAGAGGGGTCGCCATTAGAGGTAGTTCCATTTTTGCACTATTTTCTTGAGAGTTGCACTAGCATAGGGAAATCAATACTAGGAATTTGTAAGAGATGAGAAGACATGAGATATTTGGAACCTGAGAAAAATTAAGAAATGTTGAGTTTGAGCAAGCCTAGTACTGTCATTTGGTCTGCTTGAGTTAAGTAGAGTTGCACTTTTCTTGTTCATTTTATTAATAAGCAATAAACTAGGCCTTATAGACATGCAACTCATGCATAATTGTTTAAAAGGGTATTTGTTTACTTTGTGGTCTTGCATTTTACCATATCATTGTGAAGGTTTTGGGATTCTCTAATATGTTCAGTGTTCTTTGCTTGTTGCTAAATGAAGGTTATTTTAGGTTGTTTTCCAGCTAGATTGTGGAAACACTGTCAATATATTTTCAAATGTTGTTAAAGCATTAAAATGTGGCCCCTGTTTTGGAATGTTTTTCCATCTTCATGTTTTTGTTTAAATGTGCTCAATAGGTGGATATATAAGGTACATGCACTTCATGATTGTTCCTATATAGTATCAGATAAATTTAGAATGGTACATAGAGGATTAGCATGGCTCCTACAGAAGGATGGCATACAAAGTGCCACTATCTGAACTCTTTTATATCCAGGTTTTTCTACTTGGCGTTTCATAGCTCATGTTTCATTATCCTTGTTTGTTATTGATTATGCTTTTGTAAACTTAGTCTAGAAGTAGAACACTATAATTGTTAGAAGTACAATTTAATGGGTTTGACAACAACAATCGTACTGTTCTTGGACTCAGCCATCATCTGCATGTATTTTCTGGCCATTTTCTTCTTCTAATATGTGTTTGGAGTTTTATTTGTTTCATTGATGATGTATCTTTTTTATCTGTTGCAATGTTTAGGCAGTCCTATTCTTGGATATTTGACTGCTGTCATATTGATTGGACCTTATGGTCTCTCTATTATTCATCATGTACATGGAACAAAGGCGATAGGTGTATTTGAAGTTGTTTTCTTGATGTTTAATATTGGCCTGGAGGTAGAATCCATCAAACCTTGAAGTTAATTTCTCTAGACAGCTATTTGCCATGACATTTGATATGCTAATAACACAAAGAAAACCTAAGCATTTTGTCTTCATTTTGCAGCTTTCTGTTGAAAGACTGGGTTCTATGAAGAAATATGTTTTTGGTTTGGGCTCTGCTCAGGTGGAAAACTTATTTTTCAAATATTATCTTGTTAAGTTTGAGCAAGCCTAATAGTTCTGTATCTGTTCATATTCAGTTTGTTCAAATGAAGACTAGAATTTTAGCTCTTTGATATGTCTTCTTTAATCTCGAGTACTTCTCATTTGATTTTCATTTTGGTAATCTTATTTTTGCGCACTTGATTTGTAATTTTTCTTTAGGATTTTTCAATCTCCTTGGTTCTTCTTCCATGTAGGGTTTTGTTCTACATCGGGCTATGGCATTGGATCGCTCTGAATGACTTTTATGAACTTGATTAGTTGAAATCTGTATGTTGGCATCTATATATATAATCAAATTCTAAAATTTACGTAGGGTTTAGCTACATATGGTAAAACGTGCAGAAAAATATATAGAACTCATGACTCAAAAATAGAGAGTAGTTTTTAATTTATTTGTGTAATTTCCTTTTAAAGTTATGTGTTTTGTATTTCTGGGAAATTTTTGCAGCAAAACATCTGCAGGTAACTTATGGATTAAATCATATGTTGTAGTTTGGCTGGACAAGGTGATTTGATTGTGACTCATCTCTAGTATTTTCTATATTTCAGTTGTGTGAAATGTTTTCTTTTTCTTTTTTTTTTTTTTTTTTTTTTTTTTTTTTTTTGGGAGGGGAGGGGGGGGAAGGAATGCAACTTATATGAACTCAGAAAAAATGGGGAAACTTTTCTCCAAAGTTGAAGAAGTTCGAAATTGAGGCTTTAAAGTGTTGTGTATCAATCATATTTGTACATTTTTTTTTTGTTTTAGTATTTTAAATTTTGAGATAATGATGGAGTATATGAATTTGGTTGTAATTTTTGTAATTTCAATTTTGATGTGTTTGGTTGAATATATATGTTTTTTGAAACAGGGTTTGGAGAATTCTAACTAGGAGCAAATAAAATATTATTGCCGAATGGTTAAAATTTCATTAGGTTGCATTCCTCCCCCACCCAAAAAAAAAAGTGCTTGTAGTGGCATTTTTGTAAAAAAATGCCGCTATAGGGTCTGTATGACGTTATCTCGCTGGAAGGAATCACCGCCTGTGATTGTAGCATGACGTTTCTAAAATGTCGCAATAAGTCTACAACGGCGTTTTTGAAACGTCACAAACATATAACGACGACCGTATCTGCGACGTATAATAAAAACGTCACCAAAGGTTTTAGCGGCGTTTTACAAACGCCACTGAAAACTGAATTTCCTGTAGTGCCTTTAGAGACCAACACCCACAACTAGTTTTAAAAATTCTCCCAATCATTACATTACTACCTAGCAAATCACAAAATATTTATCCACAATGAAAATAAAGTGAAACCTATATAAAATCATTTTTTCTCTAACTTGAAATTATTATCCATTAATTCAACCGTTTTTAGTATCCATTAATTCAATCGTTTTTAGCTATCAATTTTCAATTTTTTGTGTAAAAAGTAGTGAAATTTCACTGCTTGCAAA